AAAAAGAAGGTCAAGTTCACTTACATTTTCCCAATCTGTACGCGTCAGTCCACCTACAAGTAATCGCTGATGAATATAATCAAACGTGTTATCTTCAAATGGAAGAAGTTGTGCAATATTCCCATTCACGAATTCGACATTGATTGGCTTTATGCTTTCCGGAAAGACGCGGGAGATATCAATGCCTTGAAACTTGGAATTGGGGTAAGCTTCTGCCATGTCAAAGCACCAGGTTGCAGGGCCACAGCCAGAATCAAGTACTTTAATTCCTTTTTCCAACAAATCATGAATTGGGGCATGGTAGTTGCTACACGATAAAGGTGAATGGACAGTCAAAAAATGGATATCCTAGGTAAACCCTTACCAACCAAAAATGTACTTTAATACCCAATGCTGTTGATGAAGTCGATCCACCTCTAAGAAAAGCAAATAGTGTTAAAATCAAGAGTTGATTGCACGAAAAACTATTTTACCATCGTCATTGTTTGGTAGTACATAGTTTACTTTTTCATCATAATAACTTTTCCCGCTTATATATTGAGTCTGTGTTCTAGAGGAGGATTGGGTTCCTGGACTTGTTAAAGAGCTTCTCTCACTATTGGTCTCGATTGATGTATTGGTCGACATAGTTATGGACGTGCTATTTTTGAATATTTTCCTAAGTAGCTTCTTACTGTTGGTTGTAGATATCTTTAAAAACTGAGTTTCCTTTTTTAATGTTGCGCCCTTTGATTGATGAGTGCCCATACACAGAAGCGCACACAAAGAAAAAGAAAGAAAAGGGAAAACAAAGAGTAGCTTTTGAAAAAAATAAAAGTATTTGTCATTTTTTTTTATATAATTATTGAGTCCATTTGCCATTTGTGTAGCAAGAATAAAAAGTGGGCGCAGATAGAAATTCTCTTTTTTACTTCTTTTTATGACAATCGTTATCATTTCTTTTTTGGCTTAGGAATATAAAATCAAGCAAATCGAGTGTTTATAATGACATGCAAAGTAATAAAAGCAACACATACAGATAAGATGGTTTGTATTGTTTGTAGGACAAATAATCCTATTTTTTTTTTGTACTTTTGTGCACAAATATCTTTTGGTCAAAATATGCCAAATGTAGAAATGCGCGCCAATGGTTCTCTTTTTTTTTGGACATAATAATAGTGTAAAAAGATGTACGAATATAATATTTTTAATGATCATATATTAAGTACACGATGAAAGCTTCGTTTTATTAGGGCTAAATCAAAATCTAAGGGAAAAAAAAAGGTAAATGGGGAAGATTGTAACATGCTTCACATCAAGACTCCCTCATTGCAGATGGGATGAATGGTCCCAATTCTATAAAGAGGCATACTTCTATCGAGACGACTCCCATTAAAACGGAGCTTTCTTAACCAGTGTTTCGTTCTTTTTGCTTGTGTCAGCTATCTCAGGGTCTACCGCTGGTAATCCCTGAAAGTGCTCAAACACCGACGCACCTCGAGTTTTTAGATGAGCGCAAAATACAACAATATTAAACCCTCCCGAGATGGTTTTAGGGAAGAGGGATTTATAGAGAGGAAGGGAGGAAAAGAGTTATATGTTGCTACAGTGGAGGGGTTCGTACGCAGATACTTGATTCTCTGCGGGAAGCAGTCTTGTTGAAGTTGATCAGCTTAAAGAAGAATGAGCATACAGTTGATCAAGAGTCTGCAAATATTTAAGAAAAATCCGAGAGCGTGCAAGAAGGATAAAGGGGGTTTGAGATCGTTGACTATAAATATCCCTGATCCCTTAAAGATCATGGCCACTGTACTCATTTTCACCTTGGAGACGCGCGACTCTGCATTCGCTACAGTTCTGAGAGATTAAGTCATTAGCAGATGTTTAAGAAGTGAGCTATTCATAATGCATACAAAAGCGACGATAGCGCTGACTCCTGTAGAATTGAACTCTTTGATTATTGCGAAAAGGTTTATCATATTCAGTAAGAGCACTCATAAAAGAATAATCACAAGAACCATGTATCCTTTTGGTATATTTAATTCAAGCTGTCTCAGTTAGAAAAGTATAGTGTTAACAAAATTATATATGCTCTAATCACGATCAGGAAGCGATTTTGAGTGTATAATGAAATTATCAATTTAGAAAAACCGACAGAATCAACCTTTGCCGAAGTGAATAAAGGTCTATAATTATCATGCTTAAATGGAAAGAGTCTACGTAAGCGAACAAAGAGATATATTCTTGTTAATGGATCAAGGGACGATGACTATTCAATGTAATGTCCTTTGCATTGTGTGACAATGACGTTACTATACATAAGGTTTATGCATATTTCGAATAGATTTTATTGAGAGATCAAAGAAAAATTAAATGTAGTAATAATAGCAGTAGTAATAGTAGTAAAATACAGATGATATGCAGCTTTAATGATAATTAGTATTAGTATTAAGTAGTAGTAATAATAATAGTAGTGTGTAGAGGATTATTAGTAAGTAGTAAAATAAAAAGGTTGTTTCTATAAAGGTAGCACTTCATTTTGCGTATTATCTTCTTTAAATATCTTTGCACCAACTACATAAGCGTCATCTCCTGAAATAAGACGTTTAACACAAGCAATAGTAGAGGGTAGAGTTAAAAAGAGCCATGCAGCAAGAGGTAAAGACACATAATCAAATATATTCTTCCATGTGCGAGATTCTGCCTTTGACTTACGATAGAATTCACGGTCAACGAAGCGGTGAAGGTGTTCGTAAATGGCCAAGTTGGCAAATAAAGGAAGTGGTAAAAAGACGGTGATGAGTTTGACAAGAGTCCAAAGCTTGTAGAAAAAGTCAGAAGTTAATAAAGGGTTATTGGCAGGAGAGACCAAGGCCATCCAAGCAAAAGGAGGAAACAGTATGAATTGCATCAGAGGCACAGCTGCAAACATGAGCCAACCAGAGGAAGCAGGAATCATGTGAGCTTCGAGGATGACAGAGCATGCGGCTAGTTTATCGTAAAAACCAGAGGTGGCCATATGACAGTCTAAAATTTTTTGATTTTTGCGGTTTTTGAATGAATCGAGTGTATGGCGGATGGTATAGCCAAGATCAGCCACACCTTGGAAATGGCGCTTAGCTTGAACGTATCTGGCATGGAGATTGGCAAAATAACCATCGCATTGGACATTAGTGAGATTAATGGGTACATAAATAGGAGCAGTACGAGCATGACCGTCTGTCTTGAAAAAGCATTTAAGCCACATGTGCATATCTTCGCCGATAGCATCCGCATCCACATCCCAATAACCAACACGTTCAGCCAGAATAAAGGATAAACTATAGTTCGAGCAGGGAACACATAAGCCATCCGAGTTACTCAGGTTAGACATTACCAAGGCAGCCCAAGTGATATCCGTCATGCGTACGGCGGCAGGAACCTGATGAGAGTTACGAGAAAAGAAGATAGGAGGAGCACAAATGGTGTAATAAGGATCATCAGACTTGTTTAAGGCTTGTTCCACTTCATGAATGTAAAGTTCGGGAATGGCAGCATCCGAGTCCATGACGGTCAAGATGATTCTGCTTCTATCATAGCCCTGTTTCAACATCTCAGCACAGCCCGTACGAACAGCATAGTTCACATTAGAGCCCTTGCCTCGATATTCACCTGGTACGTTGACAGGATGGCCAGTAATAAAGAAGCCATGAAATCGATCTTTAAAGAATTCTTGCAGACGTTGACCCTTTGTTTCCCAACCTTCTTCAGAGGCTTCCATAGCAAGGATGATGACATAATTGGTGTTTGCGTTTCTAGTAAAAAGGTTAGTTTCCCCAAAAAAGAATAGACAAAAAAAGTAATTACCTATGAACGGCTAATTTTCCAATAGTATCTCTCAATAAAGGCTCTGGTTCACTGTAGTTTGGGATGACAAATGTATGAATAAATTTAGGGTCTTGAATGACGACTGGTTGTTGTTGATCTTCTTCATCATGTTTCATTCTTTGTAAACTTGCAATCTTGGCCTTGTCTCGTTCACTCTTATCGTTTGTGTTATTCTTGTTCATCAAGTTCCATTTCTTGATATTGGCTCTAATTCTTGTAGATGATAAGTAGAATTTACAGACGTGATTGACTTGCTGATAAAGAAAGCCAGTAAAGTAAAGAAATAAAAAGATGACATAAGCCCTTGGAAAGAAGATAGGCCCTAGTGGAAGTAAAGCCAAAGAGACAATAGGTGTCAAAGGAGCAACCCATTCAGCTGGAGAGTTCAAACGAGACATCGGCTTCTCTTTATATCCTTTAGTAATAAAAAAAAAAAAAAGGCAAATTTATATATTGTAGGCACAGAAAAAAAAAAAAAAAAGAAAAAAAAATACAAAGAATATGATTGGTTAAATAATAGAAACATGCTCTTCTCACCAAGGACAAAGAAAGAGTTTGACTGAACCTAAAATAGATTAGATTCAATTGGACAGCCAAGAGATTCTAATCTCTTAAAATTTTTTAATATGATCTCTTGAAGTACAGGAGTAATATAAAAAAGATGAAAGAAGTAAAAATACAAGAGCAATATGTCGTCATCATTATTTATATTATTTATTCTTTTTTATGCTTGTTATTATAAAGTATGACTTGTAAGACAAGAATGGCATTGAATGTAGCAGCCAATAGATTACCAAATAGCATCAGAGTGTCATCCAATTCAGTCATTGTAGTAAATACACGAGCAGCACTTCCAGCAAAATAATTGATGACTGTAAATACAGAAAGTTGTCCTGTTGACTTGTTTTTGAAATTGATATAGATCTGAGGTACTTTACTACCTAAACTAAGTGGTATCGTCAACGCATATAAACTACTCAAGACTGAAGATGGCACGCTTTGATTGAGTGCATAGAATAAACCAAGAAAGCCCAAGAGAGTGATCATCATTTGCTTTTGTTGTCGTCCAAAATAAAGTATGAGGCAGGTGATGATTATGTTTTGTAAAGAAATAAACATGATTTCACCAAAGGTACTAAATGGATTACCTTGTCGAAGATTATATGAAAGCGTGATAAAATAAGATAATGTTTCCATAAGATAAGATGTTAATGATAATCCACTGGCTGAATGGTTCTTAATAATAGTCAATATCTGAGGTATCTTCACAATAGATCCACCTAAAACGATGCCCAGTCCTAATCCTTTAGATATCACATATTTAATACATTCAATGTCATTCAAATTCAAGTCTTGTATTAAAGAACTATAACACGCTTCTCCTATTAAAGCAGTTGCTGGTTCACGTATAATATTGGGTAATTGCATTACAAAAAAAAATGTTAAATGAGAAGAAATACATTTAATAATAATTGCGCTCTTTTAAACACGTGTCAAGCTAGGGGGCGGAATGAATATGTTATGATTGAAAAATAGCAAGTTGAGGTTGTGATGAATGATGGTCGAATAAAGGCTTCCACTTCTTTAATACTTGTATACAACGTTGATTGATATCAAACTCATTTTCTTCAAAGCAATAATTACAAGCACAGTTGAGTACTTTGGCAATTTTGGTGTACTTTATCAATTCAACTGTCATTGTTAGTTGTTCAATTTCATCTATAATCGCTAATATCTTGACATAATCTTCTCTTGGTATCTCTCCCTATGTTTTATATATGTACATATATCTATACTCATCAATATACATGATTACTTACTGGTTCCTTTCCATAGACAAGCTTCTGAAGCTTATGTCGAATATGATACACTCTTTTAAACTCTGCTGTCTTTTTAAATGCTTCCATGTCGGTCATCTCATTCTTCTTTACTGTCTCTTCATCATCTTTCTCCACTGATAATGATTTACTCTAGATGATATGTTATGTGTCTGAAACTCTCAATATGTAATCAGTTTACCCTCTTCTTTGTACGTTCATCCTCTGATCGCCCTCTCTTTCTTGTTCTTTTTTGACTTTGTCTATTTGTCTCCCATTCTTTCTCTTCAAATGATGAAGGATTTAATGCTTGTTGAATAGCATGTATCAATTCTTTTGTTCTATATTTCTTTGCTTTCAGATCGCGTTCAACTTCTTCTCGATCAAAAGGACGTACACTCTCTGGTCCAAAAAACCCACTTGCTCATATGAGACATGTATATATATATACATAACTTGATCTAGATAAAAAATAATACTTACTAGTCTCTTGAACCATAAAAAAAGACAGTATACAACAATCCCTTTGCCTTGCTCTTTTGTTTCAACACTTGAGGTGGGATATCTTTGTCGTTTTCAACCTATATTTTGAATAAATATCAGTATATAGTTGGCGGCATGAATAGATCTTACTCTTGCTGGCCACCAAGGATATCCTCTTAATTTGGCAAATACAGTATCTCCAGGCGCATATTCTTGAATTGACATGATAAAGACAAAAGATAATAAAGAAAATAAAAAAAAAGTGGTATGAGTAAAGAAGAAAAGAAAGAAAAAGATAAAAAAAGAGGTACACAAAATGCGCGTTTATAACGTCATTTTTTAATTTTATCATAAACACGAAACACACTGTCAAACAATTTTGGGCGTCTATATCCCATAATTCCAATCATCAAAACACAACAAGTGACAAACAAGTACCCTCTATTGATCCATCCTGTCTGTCGTTTTTGTATCGTATTGCTTGTTTGTAATAAAATCTCAGATTGAATTACCTTTCGTTCCCCATCCAATACAATCTTTAAATGGTGATCTTGTTTGTCGCTTAGTTCAAATAAGCTCTTTGTGTTTAATTGAGGTAGATATAGTTCGTAAGCGGGCATATATGTATTCACAAATTGCTTAACTGCTTCATCTGATAACCCAGTCACACCTCTTGTCATCTTCATGTGATGTTCTTGTTCCAGTCGCCATTGATAGACTTGCTGTATATCGAGAGGAGAAAGATGAATGAAGAGATCAAGGTAGGGGTAAAGTTCAGTCTCGTATCGTTTCAAATGTTCGTTCATCACTTTTAAATCATCCAATCTGACAGATTGAAGCGTCTTTCTCGATGTATACATGGCCTCCAATGTCTTTTCCTCTACTGGTCGGAATCCCAACATCCAGCCTTCAAAAAGAACTATATCAAACGGCCCTCTGACTTGCTTCCAGTCTTGTTTAGGTAATCGATCCCCTTGACCATCAAATAATGATTTGTCATAGACAGGAATAGACACACTTGGTTGGTTCATCAGGAGTGCTTTAAATGTCTCAATAGCCAAAGTAAGATCGTGCGATCCTGCTTGACCTCGTTGTTGATATAATTTATTCTCTGGATATCTTTGAGCAAGGGCGATTTGCTCTTGGTGAGTCAAATAGACATCGTCCAATGAGAAATTGACAACTCTTAGTTGATATGGTTCTTGCTTTAATAAATAGGTTAGTGTGTCGCAGAGAGTTGTCTTGCCACTGCCTTGACATCCTGATACTCCTACAATCATCGGTTGTTCAGTCAGTCCACGTTGTTTTCTGTCGTTTGCAAAGAGCGAATAATGCTTCAAGATGTGAGATAATGATTCTTTAGTCTGTGGTAATATGGCATATTGCTGATACATTATTTATATAATAAAAGAAGCAAAAAAAAGGAAAAAAAAAAAGAGTACTATGCGGTCATTTAATTGTATGGCTTCCCTTAATTTAGCATTTTATGCTGAATAAACATACACATTTTAGGTAAAGAAATTGTTATCATTGCTTATTTGAAGTTACTCACTCTATCATTCTGTATTGGCCATCGCATCGTGGGTCCATTTTATAAGCAGTAGCAAGGTAGCCTAGTTTATCGTCTTAAAAAGCCAACTACTTCTGGACATTTGACCTTTCTCAAAATCAGCTTATTTATCTGCCTTATACCGTCTTTCCGGAAAATAAATTTGCCTGAGATCGAAAATAAATGCACCCAGTGGTGAGAACAAAATTCATGCTGTACGAAATGTAAGCTCATGGTTTATCCATCTTATCCAACACGATTACCGCGTTCCTTTAGTATCATATCCACCACTCGTTTCACCAACTCTTCAACATTAACCCAATTGCCCTCAGTCAGCAATCACCGTTATCGACAATGAGATCCAAACGCTCCTAAAGAAGCAAGTAATAGAACCTGCGCCACTACTGCTACTGGGCATTATCTCAGGTTTTTAAAGGAAACTATGGATCAACTAGACAGATACCCGAGCATGAAGGGCTTTTATCTTATTATGGATAACGTACCTATCCATACGTATGATGTTGTTGACAAATTAGTTACCAGTAGAAGATACAGATGCATTTATCTTCTACCTTTTCCCCCTGAATTAAACCCTATTGAGTAGTCTTGGGCAGCTGTTAAAAACTATGTGAAGCGCAGTAGATTCAGCGATAAGGAAGATTTTCATACTAGAATTGCTGATTCATGCGATATTATTCCTGAATATAAGATAAGAAATTCAATTCAGCATTCTGCTAATGTCTTTTCTAAGTGTTTAGAATAGTTTCATGCCATTTGACAATGAAAATCTGCTATTTGTATTTTTAAAATTCGCACTTGGTTTTTTTTTATTACCCATCACCACTGTATAAACCATTAAAGCTGTACTATTGTTATGCAATAAAGCAACTAACCTTTTCAGTTTGCTGATCTGCATCGACAAAGTCTGTTTCACCGTAAAAAATGTAGATGTACATCGATGAGTCTCTAAGAAAGAGAAAGAGCTCACTATTATATGCAAATAGGAATATTACATGGTCAATGAAATTTGACCGTGACGCGTTATATGAACCTGTATTGTGCTTAGTCTCTTCAGGTTGTTCATTCTTAGAGTATAGATTGATAGTAATCTCATCCAGTATTTATAGGGTAGACAATAAAGCTTATTTGTGAATCAAACTAATCTCTAAAGCCTGACCACTGTTGTCCCAACGGACGGGGAAACTATCGGCACAAAATGAAGGGTTCTTAAAATGGTAATGTCATAGTCACGATTTGACACGAATTTTTTTTTTCCTTCTCTTCCTTTCCCTTTATAATCGCAAAGAAATGGTAAACAAACTATAATTGTCAAAGATCTTTCTCTTAATCTGTTTATAGTCGTTACCCATTAGCGTATCTTCTACTGAAACTAGAGAATTAACAAGAATGGAGCGTGTGGGCGCTCATTCTCACATTCGAGGTTTAGGTCTCAATGACGCTCTCGAACCCCGTGCTTCTTCTCAAGGCATGGTTGGACAGGTGAAGGCACGTAGAGCTGCAGGTGTCATTTTAAAAATGATTCAGGCTGGTAAAATCGCAGGTCGTGCTGTCTTGATTGCTGGTCCACCATCCACTGGTAAAACGGCCATTGCTATGGCTATGGCTCAAGGTAATAATAATAGTAATAATATTGATACAATGTACTCATATATATATATATATATCCAGCTCTTGGCACCGATGTACCCTTTACCATGCTTGCTGCTTCCGAAATATTCTCTCTGGAAATGTCAAAGACGGAAGCACTTACACAAGCATTCCGTCGTTCGATCGGTGTACGCATCAAAGAAGAGTCTGAATTGATCGAAGGTGAAGTGGTAGAAATTCAGATCGATAGATCCATCACAGGCGTAAGCTATCCATTTGCTTTATATATACGCTATATTGATTGTTTCTATAGGGTTCCAAAACTGGTAAGCTGACTCTCAAGACCACAGATATGGAAACTATTTACGACCTTGGTAATAAAATGATCGAATCATTAAATAAGGAAAAGGTGATGGCAGGCGATGTTATTGCTATCGATAAAGCATCTGGAAGAATTACAAAATTGGGACGTTCCTATGCCAGAGCAAGAGATTATGATGCTATGGGATCTGATGTAAGTCTATTTTATGAGAATGTGCCATTATTTAACTGATCATCATAGACAAAATTCGTTCAATGCCCCGAAGGAGAATTACAAAAGAGAAAGGAAGTCGTTCATACCGTTTCACTTCATGAAATCGATGTGATCAACAGTCGAACACAAGGCTTTTTGGCCTTGTTCTCTGGAGATACAGGTGAAATCAAGCAAGAGGTCAGAGATCAGATCAATGCCAAAGTTGCAGAATGGAGAGAGGAAGGCAAAGCAGAGATTATACCTGGTGTGCTCTTTATTGACGAAGTACACATGCTCGACATTGAATGCTTTTCATTCTTGAACCGTGCTCTGGAAGATGATATGGCACCTGTGGTCATCATGGCATCCAACCGAGGCATCACAAATATTCGTGGCACAAAGTACAAGTCTCCTCACGGTATTCCTGTTGATTTATTGGATCGTATGCTCATCATTTCAACCAGTCCTTATGAAGAAAAAGAAGTTCGAGAGATTTTAAATATTCGATGTCAAGAAGAGAATGTGGAAATGACAGATGACGCCAAGGATGTCCTGACGCGTATTGGACAAGAGACTTCACTTCGTTATGCTATTCACTTGATCACCGCTGCCAATTTGGTCGCAAAAAAGAGAAAGGCGCCCGCTGTCGATATTCAGGATATTAAGAGAGTCTATGCTCTCTTCTTGGATGAAAAGCGATCAGTCCAATACTTGAAAGAGTACCAGGATCAGTACATGTTTAATGAATTCAAAGACGCCATGGTGGTAGACAATGCCATGGAAATGTAAAATGATATACATATATATTTTTTAGTTTGTGAATAAACCGCTGCTTGACAGTATGATAACAAACAGCATGAGTATATATCCCACAGGCATCGAGTAGAGTTTTGTAGCTTTGGAAACAGCAATGACAACAGCAGCATTATCAGCTAAAACAGAGGACTGAGCAGGTGTCATGTAGTAAGTTGGTGAGGGCCCTGAGGCTGCAGCATCAGTCCTCACAATCTTGCCAACACCCCAAGGAATCTTTGAACCTAAACAATATCAATTCTCCTTTTCCTTTTTCTTTATATATATATATATATATATATATTTACCATCAGGCTGAGTAGGATATTGTGCTTTGGCTAGTTTTCCATCCTCTCCAGTTATGCCAAAACGCGTGGTCCATGCATTTTCACCCTTATCTATAAGCGATAGTTATATTGTCGTTGTTTGGTAATGTCTAGTTCGCTGTTTACCATTAGTAAACATGAAGAAATAGATAGGAGCAGCGGGCGATACTTTAGGAGCAGTCCAGTTAAACGAAGTGGTCTTGGTAGCATCTAAATTACGAGCCACATTCATCAAGAACCTTTGGTGATCATTGTCACCTGTCATAAAATCTAATCATTGAGGAGCGAATTTAGCTCTCGTTAAAATATACAAATTTATATATTCTTTGAAAATATTACCGATTCTAAATTTTTTCCATGCATTCATAGAACCATGATGGTCATTCTCTATTAAATAAACTAAGTATGTAAGTTGAGATACATGTTTATCTTACCCCAAACAATTTCGTATTGATGACCGGCTTTCCATACCGTACCTGGTTCAGGATAACTGGGCGCCATATCGGCATGAATGTACTGAAAAGAAAGTGAGGTAATGAAAAGGATGGTCGATAGTAGTTTCATTTCTCGGAAAAAGTAAAAGGAATGTATTGCCTATTCGCTTACAAAAAGAAAAGAAAAAAGAAAAAAAGAGGATCAAAAGATACAATGAAGTATATATGTGTGTTTGAGAGGTAAAGGGGATGGAAAAGAAATCGTGGATTATATCAAAATTGTAGCTTTGAATATAGTACCGGAAATATTTACTGCCATTACAATCAAGACGCGAGATTAGACTTGCAACAAGAATGGATGGGCTTTACAGATTGATTTACAATAATTGATCTAGACTGGTTCTTCTATATCAGCCCTAATCTCACTCTTTCAAGGGTTTCAATATCCCATTTAAGGACTTTAATTGACGCTTGTGATAAAGATAGATATGATATGCTCTTTATTTGTTAAAGGAAAAAAAAAAAATACATGGCTGACATGACTAAATACACTTGTTATATATTCATGACGAACAGGGCTTTAGTCATCAATTAATGATCTTCTTTTTTGTTCTATATTCAATGCTATATTTGTTACTTTATAAATTTTCAATAAAAGAATGTCAAGACAGCGTAGTAATGGAAATGCGCTATCTTTTTGACAAGTGAAAGCTTTTATTGTCACATAATATAAACAGAGTTCATATACGATGAATACATGGGATTAACATCATTGACGTGATCCCGTCTTATTCCCCACAAGGGAGTTGCCCCCCTATAGTACAGTTTTGGCTTTTTCTTTATTCTGTCCACTGATTGGCCTTTCTGGGTCATGTGTGTATTTATAAGGGTAAGCCTTACAAACTTCCCATCGGTGCTGTGAACACAATGTGTGATGATCTCACACCATGACTAAGGTTAAATGCCAATTTGGCCTAGTTTAAATATCGTACGTACTTGGTGCTTTTTAACAAACAAGCAAAAAATAGAGTGCGATCGATAACAGTTCAGAATAGGTAATGAGCTCAATCTTTCTGGGTTTAGGATAAACTCTAGGTTGATCATTGGATAAATAATGTCACGAGGGAAACCACAGGGGGTAAAGAATCAAAAAAGAGTATATAAAAAGCTGTGATATATGCATATACACTTCTTTTTTTTTTTTATTTGTAATTAAATCAACATGATCACCGCTATTCCTCGTACTGCTTCTTTTGTTCTCGTTCCTATCACTTCCTTTGCTGGTTATGTTACCTATATCCGTGCTACTACAAAGCCTACTGAAGCTCATATTGAATACATGAAGAATCATAGAATGATTGATGAAGTGCTTCAAAAGAAATGGATAAAAGTTAATAATGGTCTGGGCCTTGTTGACGTTGGTCGTTCTGGTGGTGGTATTTAATTTATTATGCTTGGACTGGATCCATCATTTATCGTATTTAATAAATCATTAAAATGCCTTACAGAGCATACATATGCTTGTGTATTGCTTACAGCTGACGCACAAGCTAAAAATTAAAAACATCCATTGTTATTGCAATTATAATAATGTTTTATTAGTGATTATTGAGGCATAAATTGAATGTACACATGAAGTTCACCATGACTTGTTAAGCCTAATTTGGCAGGCAAGTCAACCCAAGTGTCAATAGGCGTGCCACTAAATACGCTTTTAAAGTCAATTTTAGTGTCTCCGATATTATCAGAACCAAATGTGTCCTTGTCGCGAACATTAAAATAAAGCTTATGCTTATCTCCTCCTTCTTCCATTGGAAAAGTAAACGTCTGGTTCCAAACAGGATTATTATTGTTCTTGATCACGGCTGTACGTTGCTTATATTTATCATCAAGCCACAGTTCACTAGATTTATGGTATAAGTAACCATCAAGACAAAGGCGTATGTCACTTACACATATGGATCATTTTTTCCAATCAGGTCCTTGCTTTTGAGTTTACGAGCTTCAACTAGACACAAAGTTCAACTCACTTGACTATTGTTTCACTAAAACACTTACTAACAGTAACAACCAAAGTTCCTGCAGGGTATTTGTCAAACATGTTTAATAATGAAAAAGAAGAAAGAAAGGAAGATAAAGCGCTTTATATTGTTATATGCGGAACTAATCTGAATTTGGCATATGCGAGGACAAAAAGGGCAAGTATTCAAGATGTAGCTCTTGTATTGATTTTTTCCCTTCCCTAAACTACCCAGGTTTTAAACGTGTTTTTTTGTTTGTTTTCGACAATAGGAGTTATATCTGTAACCGTTTATTTTTATTAGAGGTAGTATGTAGCAAGAGAAAAACAACAATGGGCACAATGAACAGTAGGGCGTAGCTATTGGTTTTTTCCCTTATTGAGTAAAAACGCCGTCTATGATCTCACCTTGTTAAAATACTTGTAACTGATTTAGTGCACTAGGTCAATTCCGCCGATACCAATCTTGCAAAGGCCAAATTCGGTCAATTGATGAAGAAAAAGGTCCGAAAATGCGATCCTGTTATCCGGAGAAAAGGCTTTATTGGCAATTATGAGTATTTTTCAAAGATATGGTTACTCAAACTTCAATTGACATGACGTTCGACTGCCTGCATACTGTCTTCATTCTGTACATCCCTTTGTACTACTTGATGATCGTAATGAGTGAGCTTTGAATGGAGAGGTACCCACGTCACTTGTTTCTATGTTGTCTTGAGCTCATTTTGTTAAAGTGATTGGTTGACGGAGGCCATGATCTTGTTAGAATTGCCCCAAATAGAATCAAGAGTAGCATATGTTCTTTTGGCAAGTGCTTACGTAATTGAGTCCATTGCTTGATTGAAAGATGTATACATTATTTCTCTTACAATACTGGATTTATTTTCAATCATTCATGCATATTTGCTTATGATAAGTTAACAGTATGACGCTAAAAAGATGAGATTTGACGCGTTAACAAGTAATCAAGTCGATTAAGTCAATTCATAATTTATCATCTATTTAATCCTGAGATTCGCCATCATGTTAGCAAACACTTTTTAATACAAGTTGGGAGCGTAAATTTTAGATTGCTCCTTAATGATTGTGCTAGAGCTGATTCGCTTTTCTTCTTCTATTCATTTGTCAACAATGCCACTCTTTCTTTATATATTTCTGAAATAATAATAATCGCATCAATGCGGCCAATTATTTCAACTTAACAAGCTGTCAGTCCCTCACCAGATTTTCTATGACGAAAATATCTCACTGTTAATAGCATTCGACCTTCTTTCACTTTCAAGTTCTGAGCAAGAGGGGGCATATAATATTGACCAAGCTTGGAGAACTGAAAACCAATTAGTCTGTGGTATTTACACGCTTATACCTCTTATATCAACTTAGAGGCTCACTTATATAACTGAAAGGGTATCACTTTGATATTCGCTGAAATTAAAGTCCTTACACATTAATAACTATATATGAATCAATAAGATATATACTTAATAAACAGATTATTCTTTTGTCAATAAACATCACAGAAACATTGGGATATAAGTCTTTCTGCGATTGAAATCGTTATGGCTTGTAACACGAGTTCTCTGTTGTGTCTTACCGACAATAATATATAAATATAGATTGTGCAATCATCTCTTTTCTCTTTGCTTTATTCTGAATAAAGATACGCACAGCCTCATCGTACTTTTTACTTTGTCTAAATATTACAGAACCAAATACAGCAATAGCACGTATATCGAAGACACTCAACTGCTACTCTCAAGATTATGCATTTAAAAAGGCTTCAATATACTATGATGTCAAAGTGAACCCTTGCAGACATCTATAAACATTTTATACGATAGCAAGAATTTGTGAAGAAACCAAGTTTAAGTCGTTCAATTGCTTTCCATTACGAAAGGGGTTTATACCTTCGTATATCACCATTGACTCTAAAATACTAAACTACCATGTGCTGAAAAACGAAAACTTCAGAGAAATTAAACTTAACCTCTGGAGTCAAGGAGTAGATTTAAAAAGCAAAACAAAATGATATCCAGTTCAGAGGAATGATCCAAACAGATGACGTTGGCGTTTCTGTGTTGAAGTAGAATTTTGAAAGTTCCAAAGGATCGAGTGGCGGCTATAAAACTGTTAAAAAAATGATGATTTTAATTATGTGGAGAAACAAGGCAAAGAAGAGCTGATGATGGCCGTTGACAGTTGTGCTCTGATAAACCCTGGTCGATGTTATCTTCTATTTTGTATTCATGAACCAAGTGCTCCTGAAAATAAGTGAAACTATTGATATACAGGAAACCAAAGGTCAGGGAAACAATATCAACAAAGTTTCGTAAATTGCGACAGTACTTGAAGCCATCTATCGTAAAGGAATATGAAAATTAGTAAAGCAAAACGCTCGCTTCAACTGTGAATGTAGACGAATATATTTTATACATTGTACAAAGAGCTAGAGTATCAGTGGAACTGAAGCAATATTATAGCCACAGGTCAAATACAATCTTTGAAAATAGAGCTCAAGATGAAGATCAAGATATGAACGAAGTCGTTGAAGACGAAAATCAAGCTATGGATGAAATTGTTGAAGTACAAGATCAAGACATGAGAGAAACGGAAGAAGAATCCGATATTCCTGCGATGTCCTTGTTGCCATTTAGAAGCTAAAACTGTCCAGCAAAATCAATAGAACTCAAGCAGATAAACGGCTGGCAAATGATTTAAGAAGGATGTTCGGGAAGGACCCACTGCTGATTCTCGGTAACTAATCATCTGGGAAAGTGAAATATTATGAATCTATTCGGGGTAAAGGAATGAGACGGATGTTAAAGAAAGAAGGGTTCAGAGTGGTTTTACCGGATGAATTCAGGACTTCAAAAACTTGCCCAAACTGTAGATTTGAATTCAAAAAATTATGATTACGGCATCCTTCTTCTCGACGAGGGAGCATTTATCCATTATCACTTTGTTTCCGGCACAATGCAATCACGTTTATCAGAAGTGCTTTTCACATTTAGGATACTGACGAAACTATCCAAGAAAGTCATTGTAATGCAGTATCGACTACCAGATCCAATGATCGATTTTTACTGCCGCTTAATGAACGTTGATCCAAGAGATCGTAACATGGTGACAAAGAGAAAATACAACAGGCCAACGGTGTTGCAGCCGTTGTATACATGGCCCAAACTGTCTCAGATCATCGCACACATCATTCAAGACTAGATCAACTGTCATTTCAACTACTGAATACCAGTCATCAAAATTATGCTGTATCTGTGACGAACCAATCGTCCATTCAAAAAAGAGCAATGGAAAGGTCAACTTTGGTGCAGTCTTGTGTGCCAATCCTGACTACATTGGTCGTCAACATTTATATGCTATAAGAAGCCGAGATACCAATGCAGGAGTGGATATTCTGAAAACTGGATTATACAAGATGATTAAAAACGATGACCACCCTTCGTTCTCAAGAAAAATGAAAGAAGATGCTATAAAAAAATTATTTCATGGTTCGACACAGTTTGGAAAGTTGATGTCGAGCTTTCTCTCAGTGTAGAGAGTGGGCCTCGGATACTTTTTTTTTTTTTTGGGGTATTTAGAGTTTTTTCTTTCATTCTTACAACTTCAAAAACAATTTTTTTTTTGTATCATGACCACACCTTCTATTTTTGCTGCGTCTTCTATCAGTCAGCATCAAGTCAATATCACTATGACTTCTACTACAGTACCTGCTACTAATTCAGTGTCTCTTGATTCGATCATGAGCACCGATGATATCCTCTCTGAGTCTGCGTCTTTCGAGGCCACTTCATTGAGTAATGTACATGCTGTAGGTTCTGTACCTACAGCAATGACATTGTCTGATCTTTGTCAGAAGTTAAGAGCTCTCATCTTGCAGCCATCTGCTCTTACTGCTTCTTTTACTCGCCGTCTTCACACAGTTGCTATCGGTAGTGATCTTGAACAGGCACTTACTAAGGAATTACAAGCTCATAAAGAACATCTTCAAATGTTCAAAAATACCATCGACATGTTTTCTGCGTACGATGTCACTGCAACCATCACCATTATGCCTACAACGTTGAGTCATCTCTACGTTGTTCCGGATAATTTACCTATGATGCAATGGCGAGGTTCTGTCTTTGGCAGAAGGTCTCCTGTTGCTAGTGCTATTAAGGCTTGTCTGAAACGCTTTGAAGACACCCTCTCCAGTCATGGTCTTGATCATGATAGTAACTGGCGTCGTTTGATTCCTGTTTGTCTCTCTTGTAAGCAGCTTTCATGGCTTGATGTATACTGGGAGACGAGGCCAAATTCTACTTGGAAATTCTTCAAGTATGCGTTCGTTGCCCGTTTTGGTATGTCTCCCCAAGTAGAAGTATCTGATTCACTTGATGAATTAATGGCAATCACGATGGAGCCTAGTGAGCCTGTTGAGCAGTACGTTTACAGATTTAAGGTCTTGCGTTATCTCTCTAATGTGAAGAAGCCTCTTCCTATTTTTGTTTGCTTCATGACTGGACTCTCTGCAGGCCTTCATAGAGCGGTAAGCCTTGTCCTATTGATGACCACCAAGGGACAACGCTATTCGGTAGACTATGCCGTCAGTCTCGCCAAGAAAATCAACAACAAAGCTTCCTCTTCTTCCTGCTCTGTTGGAAAGAGACGTTCTGTTCCCTGTGCTGCCCGTGACCGTTCTCAACCTTACAAGATACTGTCCAGCAACAGGTACTGCTCCTTCCACAGGGCCCAAAACCACAGTGATGCTCAAGGTCGTGCACTCAAGGAAAGCAAGATAGCTGGTGACAAACTCCCATCTTCTTCTTCCGGCATGACCCGATCAAGCTGGGATCCTGCCAACTCGTGTTCCTTCGGACACCAGTGCTCTTTGCAGTAGTTATGTGAATAACGCGCAAGCTGCCAAACCCTGGCAATGAAAGCAGACATCACTTCCGCGCACCACGAGCATCTCGCCTTCTCCCTCTCGGCAGGTACTCCTACCAATATCACAATTACTGTTCATGCTCCTTCTTTTTTGGTCGCTACCCCCTTTCCAAGAAGCTTCTACGTTACAACTCATTCCACTATTATCAAAATCATCTACATATATGAATAGGCTATGTAATTGTTAAACATCAAGGATTAGGCTATGCTCATCGCTTTCTTATGTTCTTCTCTTTTTCTTTGTTTATCATTGGGGTTCAATTCCTTCTTTCCTTCTCCTGGAACATGTGGTATCATCAAAACAAAACATATATTACAATCTTATTAGTGCTTCATATAAAAATATTGGGCATTCATAATGGTCTGCTAATTTGTTTACAAGCAATGCGTTCTTCTCAGTAGATAATAGATCATGATCTAGAACGAGCTTAAATGTTTATCTCCCTTTTCATATAGTTACCAGTTCTAGATTTGGTGATAGCATCTAGATGGGGTCTTTAGTACATGTGTACCATATCCGGTATCTATTGATTCAACAAAAATAAAAAGTTTAATTAATTAAAAGAACAGGTGCAATAAGACGGAATACATTCCCTTCCTCGGGAAGAGGGGGTCATTTTTTTCTTGTACGCTTATTTCCTTTTTGAAATGCATGAAATTCAGGAAAAAGGATGTTACTGTACTTCCACACATGTGTGAGGTTAAGTTGCCTAAAATAATGGGGCTAACTTGGTCAAAAAATTGAAAGATTCTTTGTTCAATAATTTAGGGAATACGTTGATCGAATATTGGATGAAGTCTTTAAGTATTTAATAGGAGTATCCTCGCTACCTAAGGCACACATGATTTTATTACTGATTAATTAATATCTTATAATACAGGGATCCTTTTGTTCATCTTCAATAGTATAGTAAGAATGGCTCATTTCTTTTGTTTTTTAGGGGCACGGGAGACAACAACGTTCTCACTTGATAATCAATTCATAGGTGGATTTAATGCTAAGCGTTTAAAATTACTGTAACTATAGAGCCCAACAGTTTCAATCTTGGTGGCAGTTTCTGAGGCAACCTCCTTCAAATATAGCAAATGTGTAATCACGTTTGGGAGAAATGACGTTTGATCCAGATTCTTGAATAGATTGATTTTAGATGTACAGTAGGCTCTTGATTACGGAATATAGTAATACAGAATTTTCGCGATAATGGAATACTATTTTCGAACGACTTCACAGTCGCCACTTTAAACTTCTTGCGATTCACCTGGATTGTCGACGTATAAGTTTTATTACAGAGTATCCTTGATTGTGGAATGTCATTCGTGCTCCCAATAGGTATTCCGTAATCGAAAGTCTACTGTACTGATTACTCTATAAAACTTGGGAGAGGGGGATCCATAATGTATGTGTGTACATTTTATCTTCAGAGTGAACACCATAAATTTTAGGCTTCACAAGTCCATTGACAATCAATTTGTTCCAAGTCTTCTTCATCTGTTTGCAAGTTTGACCAAATCTGATTCAACATATAATTCGTGCTTACATTATTTAGCCTATTTTCTGGTGCATTTTCTGGTGCATGTAGTGTTCACCCTTCTTTTTAGCTGGCCGTTAGCCCATTTCATCTTTAGAAGAGGGTTGAAAGCAAAGACAGATGACAATAATGGCAAAAGGTAATGTCGTATTTACCCTATAAATACTTAATCTTATCGTATGAAATTACCATAAATCTATACTCTAAAAATGAATAATACAAAGATACTGACCACAGTACATGTTAATAACATATAACATGACAAGCCTAACTATTATTGGCCATAGCTAAACCGGTTCCTAATAATTCTGTCTTCATATAAAATGACGCTGTTTATAATAATGAGCTCTCCTTCGTCTTAATATACAATAAAGAGGTTATATAGAGACTCATCGACTTATACTCCCCTTATCACTTCTTTATATATTCGAGATATATCACAGATAATAATGAACGTAGTTGTCTTCATTTAAATTATCAGGTGATCCATTGATAAGAATTGGAAGTATTTATGTCAGAGCTTAGGCGGTGTGTATATCTAAAAGATTCTTAGACTTGCAAGCTTTTGCAAGTAATTGAACACACAACGACAATGAAGAAATCCAATCAGCGGGGGGGGGGAGATACTTCGATGTCCATACACCAATCATAGCGTTTAAGTTCTCTTATAGAGAGATAGGCGTCAAATGATAACGCTGGTTTGAGCAGAATATGGACTTTAGTTGAGAAATGCTTGCTAACAGAAAATATAAAGTTTCTATCAAATATGTAAGATATATAGTCGATATAGCATTTAATAAATGTCCATTTGCCGTCGATCGCGGGCTCCTTTCTTTGTTTGCACATACGCAAACAAGTTTATTCAAAAATACAGCTTTTGAAGCAAGTGATGATGAATTTCAAGAAACTTCATTACTTAGAAAAGGTAAAGCTAACATTTATTAGTTCCATCTGTTTATAACAGATTTTGCAATAGACAAGAACATCCATACTACTTTGAAAGCTGCTAAAGAAGACACATCCGCTCCTGGTTCTTCAAATGTTGTTACCAATGACAAGGCAGCCATGCCTGCAGTCAACAGAGACGAGTGTCCAAGATGTATTACTTGCTCCTATTCCTTTCATTAGTTGTACTTCTGCTCCCATCAAGTCCTCCAAGAAATATCAAGGCAAGGTTGATAAGGCTGAAGCATTTAAAAGGAAAACAACAAGATGACAGGCAATAAGCAAAAACAAGTACGATGTCCTTCTTGTGATGGAACCGATCAATCTCGCTCCTCCAGCAAGGTGTGCCATATGAATAAGTCAAAAACGAAGCTCCCGAAGCCTAAAGATACCGTCGAGGAAATTTTTGTTATCAAGATATCTTTGGCTAATACCTGCAGATATCCCAAGTTCGTTAATAGTTCGTTAAACGGCACCCTTACAAAATAGTCTCAATATTATTGAGGATATTTAAGAATTAACATCAGTCTAGAAAATATAGCATGATGGATGTAGTTTCAGACAATAAAAGACCGATACCCGATTCACCTGCATATAGTTTCACATTACTGTAGATTATTGTAGATTATTTATTTTTTATAACTTTTAATAAAGACACCAAGTTCGATTTCATTAAATTCTCTGTCTTTATTTACTTGAGCTATTGATCAAATACCTCACTGTTATTCACTTAAAGACTTCATCTAATGTTTGATCAATCACTTGACCAAGCTAGTCCCACTGTTCTGGGTAAATTAACCTCACACATGTGTCCAAAATAATTCAAAAAATTGGGCAGAGGGCGGAAGCAAAGTATAGCGTTTACAAAGAAAAAATCAGCTGTAAATTATTTCCGAAAACGGGATATTGCTGCCATAAAAGGTGATTTTGTAAACAGGACGAGAGCTACTTTAAAACTTGTATTAATCTTGACCCGCTTGATTGTTTATTATTTACAGGAAAAAAAAAAAAAAAAAGAAATTTATACAACAACAATTTATGATCATGTTATTAGCTACTTATTCCATGTTATTTTATGCAATAAACGAGGAGTCTCAATCGATTGACTACTTGCTACTGAACTTGAATCTGATAGCAATAAGGGTCTAGAAGAGGATGATGACATGAGGTCAAGATGAATAGCGGCTAAATCATCACTGTTGATGCTGCTATTGCTATTACGACGACGACGACGATGATTGTTCTTGCTGTACTGTTTCATTAATTCCTCTTCATGTGCAATCAAAGTACTATACAAATGACTTTGAGCATCCTTTCGAAAGCATTCTTCTGAACAATAGATCGTATTCTATAAAAATGATAATAATAATAATAATAATAATAATAATAATAATAATAATAATAATAGTCAGAATATATTTATTATTATTATTATCATTGGTTATTACTAGATGGGGGCTCACAGCGCAATCACAAAAAGTACACCAATTTGTATCGCACATTGTATTATTGATGCTCGTATGTATCCACACAATATCAAAGCGTGTATGTAAATGAATGAAGACAAAGAAAAAGATAAAGAAATAGAAATAGAAGGGGGTTTTATGCTTTAATCCATTTTGAAACGCAGCAACTTCAAGAGAAAGGCTGCTTTAAACAGGTTCAGTTGTGACTTTTTAATTGCGGTAACAATTGAGTCTTTCCGTCAACATGCGATAATTAGGTCATTTCTTAACTAGAAAAATCATTAATAAAAAAAGACGTAATACACTTATCAAAGTGTTGTTGGCAGCACAATAAATCCATGGCGTTTGCCTTTTGTGTATCTTCTGAAAGGGGAGGAGGGCTTTCATTGTCATATCATATATATATTTAATGCACTGTTCACATCGCGATTCCACACTGTACCACAAGATTCATACTGGAGGACAGTGTGTATTCTTCGCTTTGATTCAATAACAGAGAAATTATTCATTCCTCTCGTTTTATGCTTGGTGCTGGAGCTCTCATGGCTGCATGATGGTAAAAACGTGCGAAGAGAGGTATATCTGAAAGGTTTCTTATAATTTCATGGTTGTTGCGCTTTATTATGTGCATGATACCATCATTGGCAGTCAATTATACACAGAAGTCCGTTTAATATTGGCAATGGTTGCTCTTTTGTAGTTCATGTTTTGAGTTCGCTCAAGAGTGACTATAAATAATTTGTATTTTTCTGGGCCACGCCTCTCAACATGGTGTATGCTTCCTTTGTTAAATAAACACTTTCTACAAAAAAAAAAAAAAACACCGTCTCAATTTAGCTTAAAAAAAACTTGTAAAGATGTATTTATTTCATAACTTAAGCAGCAACAAACTTTTTCATGTTATCGAGCCATTGAATATATTCCTTTTGTTCCTTGTATTCAATATAATCAGGCAAGAAGTTTGCTAATGCAGAGTTGATACCACGTTCTTCAAGATAACGCTCATAGAGTTGTTGAAGGTTCTACAATCATTATTATTAATATCATGCGCCTTCTTCTTCATTTGATTTTACCTCATCTAATTCGGAGAACTGAGGACCAATGTAAAGTCCACGTCTTTGCCAGTCTGCTTCAGCAGATTGTTCATTAGCCAATTTGTTATCCTTATAATACATGACACTTTCAATAACAATCTCTCCATCTTGAGCAACTGTATCGATCGTAACAGCACCTTGTCCATCCTATTTTGTATTAATATCATTGTTCAGTCTATCATTTTTCTATATTTACCTTTTCAATAGTCACTGATGCACGCACAGGGAAGGACACAATTTCCTCGTCTTCTTCATTTCCAGGCTCAATCATGTCATCTTCAGGAAGGAAACCCTCGGAAGGTGTATTATTGATATCAGAGATAGAGAACAATACGCGAATCCTACCCTCATCCCTTAGCTTATGCAGTCTTTTTTGAGTGTGTTTATCTTACTTTTCATTTCCAAAAGTACGGGTCAATGATACTTCATCAACGCCAGGCTTATCTTCCAACTATATAGAGTTATGAGAGACTTGTTATATAAGACTATTAGCAAAAAAAAAAAATTACCTTGAAAGAGTTAGCTTCCAAGAACTCCTTGATAAATTCTGGTTCGGATTCTTCGTTAGACTTTTCATATTGAAGTTCTTCATCGAGCTTATGAACGAGATCAGAATCAACTATTGTTCACACATGAGTATATTCAAAAAAAAAAGAAAAAGATCACTTACCAGATCCAGTGCTCATGCGAGCAAAGGTGGAAGAAAAAGGACGAGCGACCTGAAATGCAGGCATGACGCGAGGAGTGATTCTAGACACAGCTACGACGTTCTTTGCTAAGCTAGGACGAACAAGAGCACGAAGTGAAGTACGGAAGAGTTGAGAAGACATGGTGAAGGATAAAGAGTATTTTTTTTTGACAGGGATTTATTTATTTCTAGAAGCGAGAACAAAGAGCACTTAAAACAAGTCACAGTCTCTGCCCAGCAGAGTTTTGCTTTTTTTTTATTTTATGCATTGGCTTCGCCTTTCAGACGATAGGATATAGGAATATCTCCACCTGTCTTTAGAATATGTTGTCTAATGGCTGCTAAAGTCATATTAAATGTAAGAGGAGTATCTCCACATAATAGTTCAAGGCTTGATTCATCTTCAATATGAAGTTTTTCAGCCACATATTGAATAAGTTTTCTCACTCGTAACATTCGATTTGCAAGCAGTCTATTGTTGGACCTATAAAGAGTCATAAATAAATACTTTTTTGTTACAAAAATAGGCCTATTACCCTCCTGGAAGTTCTTCCAGCTTTGTTCCGTTTGCCGGCCGTAACACAAATGTCAATTTAATTGTTTCTTTTGTGGGTATTTTGTTCTACGCAAATATATATATAAGTACCACTTTAAACAACACAAATGGGAGCTTACATAAAGAAGGTAGGATAGCAGCCATGTGGGAGCTGCATCAATAATTATATCTGCATCCTCTCCTGTAGATCCTACTGTACCGCGATACAGGTCCATACCTGTCGAGGCTTCTGCACTTTCTTCAGCTATGATAATCGTCGTGGATTCAGGGATATCTAAGGGAGGGAAGTCATCTAGACTAACAGGAGTGTACGTCTCTGATCTGCTTTCTTCAATTTCTTTCAACTTGGGCGTGCTCACTTCTTCATTGGGCTTTGAGCTCGAGTCTTCCTCTGCAGTTGTTGTTGGTGTGGCAGGTGCCACTGTCGTTGTCGCTGTTGCCGATGGAACGACAGAAGGTGAATTAGAAGAAATCGTATTATTCGGCTGAGGTGTATCAAACAACGGTCTTTCTTCATTGGTAGGTACTCGGCTAAGTTTGGCTTTTACGGATAAATTCTTGAGTCGGTTCATAAAAGTACTGGCAGTAGGCGATGTGGGAGAGGAAGGCAAAGCAGCAGGTGGCGGAAGCTGCACGGCAGACTCTCGACGGAGATGTGTATGATGATTACCCGAGAAATAGTCAGGCTGAGGACTGGACGTCACGGGCGCCGTAAAGGGACCTGCAAATTGTGCGGCCTGGGGCGATGTGGGCACATACGGAGACTGTTCTGCATGGGTCGTCATGGCTGCCAGTGGTGGTTTGGGTTCTTCAGTCTCAACAGGAGGCATGGTCATGGAAGGTGCAGAAGGTACCTGCTCTAAGGGACCCGGACGCTGTTGTGGCAGAGGTTGTTCAGACAGAGGTTGTTGTGTTTTGCTTTTAACAGATTCTGTCTTTTCAATCTGCTCATCTATAAATCGGGTGTCTCCATTTTGTTGATATTCTACTTCTTTTTTGATATATTTTGCAAACAGGTTAGCAAGGATCCATTTTCCTAGGTTTACTTTAGTGAAATAAAAAGGTTAGACATCTTGGTGGTTGAGATAATAAAGCTTTTACATCTTTGGTCTTCGCGAACTTCATAATCCTTGGGCAATTCTATTTCATCTGCATAGAGCTCACAATCAAAGCAGTTGGCTTCGTGAAGTTGCACAGTTATCGTCTAGAGATTAAACTTGTTGGCAATTTGTGTATGTCAAGTAATGAACTTACTCCTATTTTAGTATCTATAGTGCACCATGCAGGCGAGCTTTCGAGACTGTTGACCTCTTGAGCAACTTCTTGTAAATCTCGCTTTCCAAAATTCTTTAGCTGTATACATCGTATTAAGTCCCACATTGTAACTTCGCCATTTGTATCTTTAGTTAGCACATATATCCTATTTTGAAGCATCAGGTGAGACACAATTCCTGATCCACCTATGGATATTGTGTGAGATAATGATAAAAAGATTATTGGTTTTAATTTTACCACGAATGACAGAATCAGGCTCGCTTCTTAGCGGCACTAGAGTATCTTGGTTATCTTCATCTTCATGGTAACTAATAGGTATAGAAAGTACAGATCCTGCGTACATCGTAAGTTGATCACTGGCGATATAAGAGTCACGGATGGATGCTGAAAATGTATCTTTGGCTGGTGGTAGCTTGATCATCGCTTTTGCTGGAACTTCGGGATTGAAATTGGACCGAGGCAACATCTGACGCTTTTTACTTGATGGTACAGACAACTAAAGCAAATCTCTCTCTTTTAGTTCCTTCTGCTACAGAAAAATATATGTCACTTACCCATCGATTGATGCTTGAGCTAGACGTAGCTGTCCAAACATAAGTATCTTGTAAAGCAGCGATCTGAAGTAATGATTGTTATTATCTATCGAGCATTTATATCAAATAAACTTACCTTTACGACACCCGAGTTCTCTTTAAAGAGACCGATACATTCATTCTCGCTTTCAGATAATGCCCGACCGGATATTTCTGTTCTCGTCACCAGACCATCGCGTGAGCCTGAATAAAATGTTCGTAGATCTGGGTGATCTGAAAAGAGTGACCAAACAGAGTCTGGGTGTGTTTCGTAAGTAGCTAAACACCTTCTAGCATGGACAGACCATAACTTAATCGTAGCATCTGATGACCCTGACAATACCTGAAAAGAATAGTTATACCACCTTCTTTTCATCTCTTTTTCAGCTCATCAACTTACATAGTTCCCGTCCTGACTGACCAACAATGCACGAATATTGTCCGTATGTCCTGTTAGCTTGCCTATTCGTTTTCCAGATCTAGGGTCCCACAATCTAATGACCTTTTCAGGCGAACCTGAAGCAATAACTGTTCCTGGTGCATTAGCGGCAAGTGCATAAATAGAACACTTGCTTGCTGAACTGTGCAATGTACCTATCCAAAAAAAAAATAAGACAAAAAAAAAAAGGCTAAAGAGGGCAAAACTGCTTACTGCTTTCGCTTGCTCCATCCGCATAATGGTTGGAAGGCCCTGCATCTATTGACACTACTGCTTTTGATTGTGAAATATCCCAAATGTTGATTTTTTTGTCCAAGCCTCCACTTGCGACCCATCCTGGCTGCGATGCATAAGTTAAACACTTTGCATAATCTGTATGGGTTCCGATAGTATGAACTGCTTTTGAATTCTCGCTGTATGGTCTCCATGCTTTAATTGTTCTATCTGAAGAAGCTGAAACGACTAAAGGGACGAATTTAAATACAACTTGCATTCAGTCGCAAACAAGCTTTTGTTACTTTATATTACCACAAGTTCCTTCTTGGCATAAAACAATATCATTGACCCAATCAGTGTGAATTTGAGAAAACGCCTTGCAAGTTGATTTACCAGCAGACTGTAATAGTGTTATCACCTTCTACTACAAGTTGTATATATATATATATATATGTGTGTACCTGTAATTGTTTATCTACCAGCCATGCTTCTTCCGTATTCAATTGTCTTTTAAATCTAATGTTCAAGTCCCAGCTGGCAACAACGCCGTCTCGACCAGCAGAATACAACACACCTCCTTCGGCAGTATCGTCTTTGATGTCGCAGCGTGAAGCATCCAATGCCAAGGAATTGACGCCGAGACAATGAGTCTGTTCATCAGTTCGCAATTTAACTACGTAGGAGACCTTACGACGGGTTGCTGCTTTCATTTAGTAAAGTCGTAGTACGTAAATGTTGCTCAATTAAAGGAAAAAGAAAGTGGGGCTGAGCCTAAGGAGAGATAAAACAATAAAAAAAGAAAAGAACAAGCAAAAAACTGAATTGGGGTTCTTAAAGCGGAGTAAAATATCATGTCTGGTTCTTTATACTGTTTTCCCACATTAAAGAGACAAAGAGAGAAACAGGTATCTTACATCATAAGTTGGGGCACAGACACTTTTATGTAAAAAGCAAAACATTCAGCAAAGTGGTAATGCTAGAACAAGCTGTGAATACGTCATTATTCATTATGTCTTTGGTTCTCTCTTTCACTTCCCACGTCATTTTGATATTCTATACATTCATTGTTTACTCTTCTTGCTTGTTTCATCATGATCAAAGCTTTCTCTTTAATCTTTCAATAAAACTACCCATTGGCTGTCAGAACTCCCCTTCTTGGTGATATAGGTTGCCTATGTGCCTGATTCCTAATATATGATTGCCAGCCATGCTTTCATCCAGTTGATTCCAGCTCAATTGAAGAACAGATCCAAAAAGAGTTATGGAATACTACCATGATAGACATCAAGTCTTGAAATTTGGATTTTCTCCTAGTTGAATCTGTTTATGTAGGCAATATATGGTTTATATGTTCTGTCTCATTATATCTCCCAACGATTGACGTTTACTCATTCTTTGTATTATTTGGGGTTTACCGTTCAAATTAGCTTAAAAAACGCAAACTTTAGATTATCATCACTCTTAGTATCATGGCTATTTCTATTGTCCATTCTATTCACGCTGATGAATATTACGACTTCCTGTTTATAAGTAGACTGAGTAGAATCTTCAATAGTAGTAGACTTTCGATGTCTCTCACTCCTAAAAGAGCCTATTAAATGAATCTTATTCATGAAATTACTATTCTTAACAAATAGGAAGTTCTTTTTACACGGCTAATATACTCATTCAATCATTACTTTTAAGGTTGATTTGATAAAGGAAATAGTATATAGGACTACGATAGAATCGTAGAAATCATTTATAATACTTTTAACCCAATGAAGCAGAGTGGAATGAATATGGCCCCAGCTCTACGGGTGGGGTATTCAGAGGCTGATTGCTATCTTCGGAAGAAAGCGCCGATGATATTATAGGTTTGTAGATATTCTCCTCCATCTCTCTGTCTTCGATATGTTTGACCAGCAACAGTGATAAAACTGGGAATATCCTGTCAACTGGTAGTAGAGTCTTGAGTGCTGCTATTATCTATAGTATTCAAACTACATTTTAATGAAAAAAAAAAAAAGAGAAAGGGTGAGGACGACAGAAGTTACAGTTGATATAAAGCGGCAGCGAACATCTGTGTATGACATTCTTTTTGTATTCTAGTAGGGGCTTAATCTGTTTTTTTCATGTACTTTGACAAGTACGCCAGCTGACAACTTGTGCTCAAAGTCATGAGTAACCTTGCACCGGTGTTGGTAGGAGAACATCTATTAAACATAAATGTTTCTCATTTATTTTTGAAAGACTCATTTCACAACGGAGGCTGTAAAATATTAAAAATGATCCATAAAGCATTAAATGCGCTAAATGCGTTAGTGGCTCCAACGCTGCTATCTGTAACCAAAGGAAATTGATAGAAGATAGACGAGTACAAATATACTGAGAAGTGGTTACGGAGACTGTCTTTCGCAAAGAACCTGTTAAATAAGTCTTGAGTATGTCCCTCAGCAAGACGTTTATTCCAACTCATTCGACTTTTCCAATTTTTTTGAAAGTTTTGCACACACTCGCGTTCAGCTTCATACATGCTCGTAGAACATTCATATCTTCTTTTTTAATAAATACTTGTTCAAGAACAGATGGAAAGAGGTATAATCTATTTATTAATTACAAGAAAGTAACTCATGGTTCTTGGGACTCTTCTAGCCTTTTACGCACCTTTTCTTCATATGCCTTTGCCTTTTGTTTAAAGCCCTCAATTAATGTTTTGGTTTCCATGTCATGTTCACGCTGTAGTCGTACAAGGTCTTTACTGACTTGTATATTTGCTTTTTGAAGCTTCTCGACTTTATCTTCATAATCACCTATTTGCTCCTTGCAGTTCCTTAATTGTAATTTGTATTTTTCTATTTGCGATTTGTAGGTATCTAATTGTAGCTTATAGTCATCCAACTGGGTTTCATATTGCTGAATTCTATAGCCGTACTCTTCAGCGATATGCTAATAAAGCTTGTTAAATCAAAGTGATAATATCATAAAGGAGAGACATACAGTATTGCTCAATATATCAAGCTTCAATCGTTTACTTTCATGCTCAAAGTCCTGCCTTTGAAATTCTTTAATGTTTGCAGTGGCTACGGAATTGACTACTGATGTATTGATAAATAGGATTTACAGACATAAAAATAACATACCCAGCCCAATTTTTGTTTTGCGTAATTCTTCTTCCATGCTTATTGTCCTTAATGACTGCAACAGTTCTTCACGTTGCATCTCTGTTTTTCTTATTTTTGAAAACTCTTCTAGTGCATTCAAGGATGCAGAGTGTTTTGCTGCTAGCTAATTATTTTGTTATTAAGTAGACGCGCTACCATTAGATGACTTACTTTGCTATTCCTGTATTGCAAATCCGCTATTTGTTCCTTGAGTAGTTCCACTTGATTCTACATGATTATGTGAGAAAGATGATAGTCATTGCCATCAGCTTACCTTTAGCTCTTCTGTTTCACGAGCCGTTCGTGGACTTTCTTTCAGTGGCAGTGATATGCATGGTATGTCTTTTAATGAGCGTACAAGATCAAGAACGGCAATTACTTCATCATATTCTTTTTGCGGATATTCCTTTATACATATTTAGTTCATGCCAGTGTGTAGTCTAAAGCGGCTTACGTTCAAATAGGTGAATACTGTCAACTTGCTTCTCCCACTAATATACTCTGCAAGTATACTGACTAGCAGGTGGGGCTCTAAGGCAATGCGACCATGATGGTCGCGCGTTATAATTGTGTCAATGACGTTTCCTATCCTATTAACTATGTTTTATTCTTCACATCAAAGCTCTACTCTATCCACTTACGAAGGCTGATGAATGAATAATGAATCTTAGATGTGATATCCGTAAAAAACTTGGGATGAAGCAAATCAATGATCAACAAATGTCCATGACGCTTTGTCACTTTATCATGCAATAGAATCTTTAATACAAAGGGGAGTTTGCATCCCGTTTTAACCTTTTTCCATATATCGTCAATACTGCTAACCTCCTTCATGAATGAATCAAGACCAGCTTCAAATACAGAGGATGCTGTTTTGATGTCTAAGCATGGTTACTTTCATCTATATTCTCCCACGTACCTGAATGCCACTTATCCTTCCTGCAATCATAACACTCATCATCTGTCACACACATATAGACATACTCGATATGAATAGGATTCTTGGCTGATGCAATTGTATCTTTCAATTGACTTAGTATTGCCTCATGGCTTTGATGTCTAGTATATATTTTGGTAAGTTATCCCCGTCGCAATTAGCTAGAACAATTACCTATTCTCGTAAAGATAGAGCGATCTAATTAGAACAGGTCACAATTAGTATGAATATGATCAACAGTATATACACACATATATATATATATATATATTCTAACCCTATACTAAGATATAAAGCAGCCGCATTATAACCTATTATATATAAGAATCTGAAAAAAGACGGGGATATATTTGACATTTTACCATTCATTGCAAGATTGATGAGCTCTTGATACTTTTCAGTGAGATTTCCTTGTAAATCTGCTTTTACACATTGATTAAAATCCCAAGCGTGTCTATGTTTATTTTAGTGTGTGTGTTTTTGTGTGTGTCTTTATGCCGTTGTATTACTGTTTATCACCAACTTAATAAAATGGGTTAATCTATATAGACTTGATCAATAGATCTAAAATTACCTTTTAAAGACAAATTCCAACCATGTTGAGACTGACTCTTGATAAATATAGGCCCTGTCACTGTTTCCTCTTTATTAGATACCAAAAGCGCGATCGTCTCTGTCTTTGAAAGCTCCATTAAGAAAGGGAAAAAAGAAAAAAGCTAAAAAAAGGAAAATTTATTCTATCATTATTATACACACATCAAGTCAGTTTAATCTTTTTAGCGTGGTCTTCTATGAGGGAATATATTCTTTCTGTCACATTATCAGCTTGTCCAGAGACGATCATCAAAATATCCAGCTAGACCAAGGAGAATAAATATTTATCTTATACCCTTCAACCTCTCTTACCGTCATTTCCCAATTTCCAAGAATATCAATATGATCAGCAGCCTTGTATCCACCACGAACATCCAGTTTACTTGAGCTGACTTCGTGTTTATATTCACGAAGAACGACAGGACTATGTCCTGGATTATACAAGTCTGCATACTTTCTCCAGCCCCCTGAAGGTGCACACATGTATCCAAGTGACAGTAACGGAACTGTGCCGTCACTATGGAAAGGGATTATTGGTTATCAAGGTAAATTTAATGAATGAAAAAGCTTACCCATCAGAAAATCGAATGCCCGTTTCTATACGTTGGACAGGGTTGCTCACTGTAGCATCAATGTGCTATAAAAAAATCTTAGTTCTTGTTGTATACAAATAATGTATGCTCCCTTACTAGTAATGGCGTTCTAGCCGGATGAGGAGCAGAAACAGTCTCAGTGACAGTCGCTTTGGGTGGAGTTTGATCGGCTGTACATGCTGTTGTATTATCTGGATAAGTACAATCATGGTCTGCATGATCATCCATGACTGCATAATAGTAGCTTCGTTCAGTAGGGACATCAATACCATAAAAGCAGTATATCTTCATGTTTGGAGCTATAATATCCAATGTGAGTGATCTGTAGCATGTATATCAGCTCAGTTTTACCATTGGGTAGCCGTGATTCAAGAGGATTAGACCATTTGGTTGGATCACGGTCATTCAGTTTCAACTGTTTCTGTGATGTGGTAATGCCAAATGAATAATTTGCATATAAATGCTTACCAAAATTGACATCAGTGCTTTTGATCAAGAGTTCTAAAGATTCATCTACGGTGTAATTACGGATCAAGGGATCTCTAGAACTACTAGGTATATCAGTTGAGTTCTCATTAAAGCCCTCAGGTCGAGGAACAAATGAAATCATATTGCCAAAAGACTGATATATCTCCTCTTCATCATCATCTGGTGCACTATCTTTAGTACCCCAAATGGCTTCACCACCTTTAGGCAACATCGATGCACCGCCCATCCATGATCTCATCAGTTTTGCTCTTTCTCTACGCGAAAAGAACTTTTCCAAGACGTAAGCACCAAAGCTTCCCAAGGCCATGGTATCTCTTGTTTCACCTATTGTCTGATGAGTATGATACCATGTATATACACATATATATACCGGAAAGTAAAGATGTCACTGCTTTTGGTACACCCATAAGAGGAGCAGCAATATTTACGAAGGTCTCTACATGATCATTTACCCAGGTTGAACCACCTTGACCATGATCTTTGCTCTCAACCCACTTTAAGAAATAAGGAAACATTGTGCCACCTAAATATGGCGTTTAATGATGTAAAGTGTGTACGCTTTTTCTTCTTTTTTTTTTTTTTACCCATGGAATGTGTAATGACTACAGCTTTAAGGCCAGTTTGCTTTTTGGATAATTCAATTGTATTTTTCAATTTTGTAAAGTAGCTATCACGCACTTCAAGGTTTGAAAAGGATAATCGCCAATCATAAGAAGCAAAGTGCATGTTGTTGGTATCATAGCCAACAGTTGCCAGGTTTTCAATGACCTTTGCCCAAACCCAGTAACCGGTTATGAAGTAATCGGCTGCTTCAACACCTATTGATATTCACGTGTCTAGATACTATTACTTTCTTTTTGTCATGTTCATCTTACCGTGTACTGCACGTATCTTGTAACCTGGTGGATCAAGTCCAGTTTCAGGATCCAGCATGATATGCTCTGTCCAGCTCTCTTTATCTAATAATACAGACCTTATCATTGCTATATATATATATAATCTTTTAGTTCCTCCTCCTTTTATGTATATGTTTCACTTACCCATCGTTCCCCATAGGCGCTTACGGAAATACTTTCTCGAACGTTCAGATGTTCCCCAACTTTCAAGGCCTGAGGAGACAATGCCAGGAATCATGACAACCGGAAAATGAGGCTTTAGATTGAGCTTCTCTCTATATAGATATATAAGTATTACATAAACAAGTGTAACCTATATTTTACTTGTATTGTAAGGCAGGCATAAATGATATCTCTGTAGCAGGTGTAGGCATGATCAGGTTGGTAAAGTTACCCAAGAATTCATCAACGATTTCTGTTGCTGGTAAGATGCTAGGAAGATCGATATCGGCCAACTGAAGAAGTAGATAATCCTGCAAACTATTGATGTGGTTTTGAGCTGCTGGCGTGGTAGATGCAGCATACATGGCTAATAAACCAACAGACAGACCAACAATAAAGTTGAATCGTTTTCGGCTCCAAAAAGGACGTTTCTCCTTAAAGATGATTGCTGCAGAATCTGCCATGATATCCTCTGGAAGTTCTCGATTATCTACTTTTATTTGCTTTTCTTGCTTTCTCTTTCTTGGCTTTCCCATTTTTTTGTTAAAGAGAAATAAAACAAAAAAAAATAAAATAATTTATCAGACGGACTTTTAATCAATGTTCTTTCATGCTCTGATCTTGTAAAAAGTTCACCCAAAAAAGCAGGCCACTCTAGCTTCGACAGATTATCATTGAAAACACTTGTCATTTGGCCCTTAATTGTCTTACTTTTAAACTAGATCTTTATGGCTTTTTTTTTTAAATCTATCATTTTATTTAATAAAGAAGGTATCAAAGAGGGTTTTTATATATGCGAATTTTGAGTAAATTTCGACTTTAATAAAAATGAAAAGTATTGTCTGTCAAGCAGATGAACTCGTCTTTTGTGTAAAAAAGAAGATCTCTTTGTTTGTTTGTTTCCTTTCGGAAACTGAATGCTTGTTTAGAAATCCATTTTGATTTTACGGTTAAACAATACAGAAGTTGGCGAAGCGAAGTCAAAAAATGTGGTACAGGCTCCAAGAGCCGCGCTTTATTTTCCCTTTTTAATAAAATAAATAAAATAATATATAGTAATAATAACTAAATGATCCTCTTTCTTCTTTATACCTTCAAATGCTAAGCTAAATAATTCAATTTTTTTTTTATGGGGTGGGGTAATACATATTTATAATAAATTTAATAACTAGTTAAAAAACCTTTGAAACCATGTTTGATATCAATTGGGCGGGTGTACCACATTTTTTGACTTCGCTTCGCCAACTTCTGTGTTGTTGGTCGTGCCTACAGCAATCCTTGTTGGCTCCGCTCCGTCATTCAATGTGGTATGGTTTTCCGATTGAGAAAAAATTGAATTTATAATTTGTGTGCTGTCTGTTTGTTGAGTCAATGGCTTATAGTAATATTTTTCGAACGTGTTTGCGTTCTGGTTCCAATTTGCATGTTGTTTAACTTCTTTTATTTCATGACCTTTTTCCACTGCTTTAGTACTAGATGCTGCTCTGAAACTATGTGGTTTGTATATGTTGGTATTGGTACCTGATTTCTTCATTATCGTTGATAACCAACTGGCTACTGTTGCTGGTATGATTGACGTGGATGGTTTGTCTTGATCTAAATATGTTAAGAGTGTGTGATCCTCTGGAAGTTGTTCACGAATGTCCTTGGTTTTTTGTAGAAATAGATGTAAAGTAGTAGTCGGGCACATTTCACTATGTTCAACAAGCCCGAACTGACTCGTCTTGACTTATGTTTCCTTTGCTTCAGTAAAGTGTAACGTTGTGGCTTCCACTTTTTGTTCTTTATAAGTTAGTTGGGTATGTTGACGTTGTAGTCGTCCCAGATCTGAACGAGGGCGTCCCATGGTTGCCAAGCACAAGAGTACTAAGGTTTTTAATTGTAAATTGTGTAAAGAAAGTTCATTACTGACTGGCCATGTTTTTTTGATGTAAGTGCAGATTTAATCTGTATCCCAAGTCGTAAGTTGTTCTGGTTTTGGTATGAATGTTTCTGTTTTTCGTTTAGCTGCAAAAAATTCTACTATTAAAGATTGTTCAGCTATCGGTTGTTTATTT